AGGGGGGGGAGTTTTCGATGGAATATTCATTAGGGGTGTCGGAGTTCGCGCAGTTACGTAACTTGGGAGCATGCTATGTGGACAAGACCGAGATCTTGCACCAAATAGTTACCACATGTGCTGCGTGTTTCTTGACACGACCGCGCCGCTTCGGTAAGACGTTGTTGTTGTCCACAGTCGAGGCATATTTCCGCGGCGAACAGACGCTGTTCGCCGGGCTGCGCATGGAAAAGCTGGAGACGCAGTGGCTGAGGCACGCCGTCCTACGGCTCGACCTGAGCAGCGCTACGTACAACGTACCCCAGGACTTGGTCGATGTGCTCCACCGCCACCTGTCCGAATGGGAACAACTTTACTGCCCTGCCACACGTACAGTCGCCACACCTACAGGGACCGACGCCTCGGTCCAAGCTGATACAGAAGACACCTCGACCCAAATGACTGCAGAAGGGGTTACTCCGAATCCCGTTGCTCCAAATCGCGTGGGTTCGAGGCAAGCAAGTCTACATGAAAGGTTCGCGCAGGTTATTAAGTGCGCCTTCGAGGCAAGCGGTGGTCCCGTAGTAGTGTTGGTGGACGGTTACGATAAGCCAGTGTTGGATGGGTTGATGGCAGACTTATCGGGCGAAGAGAGTTTGCGTGTTCGTATCCGTCAAGATCGAGCGAGGGTTTTCGCTCCGCTAGATCCGTTCTATAGCGTGCTAAAGTCGGCTAGGACGTACTTGAAGTTTGTTATGCTAGCCGGCGTGAGCCGATACGACATGGGGGACGTTTTCGGATGCTTGGACTACCTGGAGGACCTTAGTCTTGATGCGACCTGCGGGGCGGTCTGTGGTTTTACCAGGTCTGAATTACTCAAGTATTACGCAAAGGGACTGAGCTTTCAGGGACTTCGTTTTTCGGAAGGGTCAAGTCGTCAGGGGCTAGGTCCCCAGGGCCGGAGTGCCCCGGGACTAAGTGGGCCGGTGCTAAGTCGTCAGGGATCAAATTGCCAGGGATCTGTAAGTGAGTCGGGACCAAGTGGGCAGGGACCAAGTGTGCAGGGACCAAGTGGGCAGGGACCAAGTGGGCAGATGGTTGACTGCCTTTTGGGAGCAGAGACGGCGCAGGGAGAAGAGACCCCCCGGGGGTCCGATTCCTCAGCAATAGATGCGAAGGTAGTGGATTTATGCGAAGGTGCTGATGGTTTGGTAAAGGAGGAGGAGGAGTTGGTGTCGCGTCTTGAAGAGTGGTTTGGTGGTTATAGTTTTGCTCCAGGATCGCAGCGTGTGGTGCATCCTTGGAGTTTCCTGAATGCGTTGAAGAGAGGTTCTATTCGTCCTTATTGGCTCGATTTTACCACGGCATCTTATTTAGCTCAGACAGTACGTTGTAGGTCCATAAGATTGGCTGAATTGGATAATATGCGAACGGATACCCAATCATTGCGTACCTTTGGTGCTGTTTGGCAGCGGGTTCTAATGACCGGAGATGCTGTTGGGGTGTTGTATCAAACGGGTTGTCTTACACTGAAGGAGTGCGAACTAAATTGTAATGAGTACGTGCTTGGTTATCCTAATCGTGAGGTAAAAGAAGAGTTGTTTAAATTCGTTTTAAAACATGCAGGACATCGCCACTTAACTTTCCCCGCCATGGATTTAAGACATTCGTTACAGCATGGTGATGCTGTAAGGTTTATACAAGGTTTTAAACAATTTATGGGAAGCATACGCTATACCAATCACCCTTATCCCAATCACCCTTATCCAGAGCCTACTGACGCTATCTTATTTGAGAACGTTCTATTCCTCGTATGCGAACTACTACAAGACGAACGGACTAAAATACAGAGCTCCATAAATATTGGTCATACAGAACTTTGTATACAAACCTCCAACACCACTGGCAGGAAATACCTCTATCTCATAGGACTCAGCCGGACTGTGAGTACCTCATTGTTACGACTACAACAATCACCCTTCGCTTATGACGCTCATGACCACATCGTAATTACTGTTGGTGCAAGCATCAAACATAAAACCATAAAAGGATGGACCATTCAAACGAAGTAACATATCTAGGCCTTTGTCATGCTCCCACCCTACACCAGGGTCATGCTTTAGGGTCGGTGCTTTAGGGCCGGTGCTTTTTTTGGTCTAGCAACTCAGGGATGGCGCACAGTGATTTTTTTGGGTAATAGATGAGTGCTACAATATGGGGTCAGGCTGAGGAGTTTTGGACGACGGATGAGGAGGCGGAGACGGAGGCTGAAGAGGAGGAGGAGCCGTTGAAGTCGCGGCCTCCATGGTTGGTTGAATTTGATGAGAAGCGGGCGGAAATTGAGGATAGTGGGTTTGTAGGAAGTGCGGCGGGATTTGCGTCGAACGCGGGACTGGCCGTTCCAGAGTTCCGGGTGCTACCGAGAGATGGACGGACATCTCCTCTACGTGACGGTGCTCCGGCGGCGACGACGCCGGAGCCACGAGCAGTGCGTAAGAAGTGGGTGATAGAGAATGGGCAGAGTGTCGCGGACTTTGAGACGCGGTTGCCCAAGGAACGGCGCGCGATTGTACACCCGTTTGAGTTGGACGACTTCCAGAAGCGCGCAGTGTTGCATGTAGAGGCGAACGAGCACGTAATTGTGTGTGCACACACTAGTGCGGGAAAGACGGTGGTTGCGGAGTATGCGATTGCGCTTGCGCAACGACGCAAGTTGCGTGCCATCTATACATCGCCGATTAAGGCATTGAGTAATCAGAAGTTCCGCGAGTTTTCCAAGCTCTTTGAGAGCGTGGGTATAATTACGGGTGATGTGCATATCAATAAGGACGCACAATGTCTCATCATGACCACGGAGATTTTGCGCAACCTGTTGTACCGCAACGACCCCATGCTGGGGCAACTGGGGTGTGTGATCTACGACGAAGTACACTACGTCAATGATGAGGAGCGAGGTGTGGTGTGGGAAGAGTCTATCATCCTCATGCCACAGAACGTACCGATGGTCATGCTCTCAGCCACCGTGCCTAATTACCTTCAATTTGCTCAGTGGGTGGGTACTACCAAACGAAGGGAGGTCTTCGTCGTTTCCACTACACATAGACCCACGCCATTACACCACTATCTCTTCATACAAAAGAAGCGATATCAAATTATGGATGATAAAGGCCGCTTTAATGCACACTGCTACAACGCAATCTACAATGACATTCGTAACTCTAAACCAGCGGCAGCCGCTGGAAACGCCGGAGGCAAGCACACAGGCAGTGGAGGCAAGCAGACAGGCAAGCAGACAGGCAGTGGAGGCAAGCAGACAGGCGCAGGGATACAGACAGGGAAGCTGCAAACGGCAGAAGCCAAGGCACGGTCTGAGAGGTACCATCTGCAGGAGTACATGGACTACCTACAAAAGTCGGATGGTCTGCCTGTAGTAGTGTTTTGTTTCAGTCGAAAAAAATGCGAGCAATACGCCTCTGATTTACCGGGCTTAAAAGTGATGACAAACGAGAATCGGAATCGATGTCGCGTTTTCATGACGCAGAGTTTGCAGAGTCTCAATGAAGAAGATCGAGAATTACCACAAATAAAATTTATACGACAATTAGCAGAGAAAGGTGTCGGTGTTCATCATGGTGGGTTATTGCCAATTGTAAAAGAGATGACGGAGATTATGTTCAGTTGTAATATGATATATGTCTTGTTTGCGACGGAGACATTCGCAATGGGTGTGAATACACCTGCACGTAGTGTGTTATTATCGGCGATAAAAAAACATGATGGTCGAAACACACGTTTGCTTAAAGGTACAGAGTATATACAGATGGCAGGACGTGCCGGTCGTCGTGGTTTAGACACTGAAGGTAGCGTGTATATATTCAGCCCTTCCATTGAACCACCGCCTTCGGCTGATGTGCATCACATTCTGTCTTCTAAAGCACACCCGCTACAATCCAAATTCCGACTTACACTCTCCATGCTCCTCTCTCTCGTTACCCGACAAAGCATCAAACCCAGCGACCTAATTTCCAAGTCCTTCCTCGAGTCAAAAAGAGCCCAAGAATTACCCACCATTCAACGCGACCTCAACTTGCTCAAGAAAAAAATTGATAATATGGAACCCATCAACTGCATATTCGGCACCGATCCGGCCATAGAAGAATACGTAGACACAGAAATCCGCTGCAGAAAGCTTAGCACACGCATCTATCAACATCTCTACCAGTCCCGCTATCAAGATGAAATCTTCTGTCCCGGTCGAGTCGCTCTCGTACACTCCACAGGCATCTCCGTAGACACCTCCTACGGCGTCTTGCTCTACCAAGAAACTGCTACCAGCTCAGTCAACCGTATGCACACACTTCCTCAAGATGACGATGACATTCTAACGGAAGACCTCCCGAAATTCACCTTCCTTATTCTCACCACTGAATACGACCACGACCACCAGCAAAACCCTATGGTCACCGATAAGGCGTGTGATAAGACAGGTTTATCCAAGTTTACGCCCAAGGCGCCTATAACGGTGGAGGGTTCCGGCTTTTTTGGAACAGTCAACCAAACCCATGACCGTGCAAGAGACATCGAGGTGGCTATCAGCAAGGGGCCGGGGGCGTACATTAGTTGCAATCAGTACGTGGTATTGAAGCATGTGCCACTGAACCGGTTGTCGACGTTGATGGACGCGGTTATCGAGTTACCTCGGGAGCAGTGGGCGGTGAGTGCAGAAGCCGCGAGTCCTGCGACGGATGCGACGGCTACGCCGTCGCTGATGGGAATTCCAATCAAGACGAAGGTGAACAAGAGGAAGGCGGCGGCGGCGGCCGCCGCCGCGGCAGCGGCGGCGGTGTCTCCGAGTGAGCCAAGTTCAGGATTTACCCTCTCTTCGGAGAGGGTAAACTGGGTGCGAACTGCGACCAGTTTGGACTCGACGTTGCAGGAGAAGGAAGTGCGTCCGTACACGTTGCCAGCCAAGGTGAAAACGTTGCCTATGGACCAGGTGTTGGCTGCAGCGGAGCACGCTAAGATTGCAGAAGGTTTGTTGAAGATGCAGTGTCACAACTGTCCGAACCGGGAACGGAATGTGGCCTACAGGTTGCGTCAGTTAGATGTGTTGCGTGAGATTGATCGGTTGGAATTTTTGATGTCAACAGAGTCGTTGGAATTGATGCCTGATTTTGAGGCGAAGTTGGAGGTGTTGAAGAATCGTGGTTTTGTGGATAGTGAGAGTAACGCTATTACGTTGAAGGGGCGGGCTGCTTGCGAGATGTTGACGGCCGACGAGATTGCTCTGACGGAAGCGCTGTTCGACCACCAGTTCCAGCATTTGAGTGTGGCAAGTATCGCAGCAGTTGTGTCGGCCTTTGTCGTACCGGAATGTACCACCCTTCCGGATCTTAATCTGGATGAGATGACGAGCATTGTCATGGACAAGGTGCAACATGTACATGAAGATATAGGACGCGAACTACGGGATCGAATTCCACACTTCGATTTAGAAACTTGGTCTGGCTATTGCAACCCAAATTTCGGACCCGTCGCCTTCCTCTGGGCAACAGGTATTCCCTTCAGCAAACTAGTTGAACGTTGCCAACTACATGAAGGTACTATTGTACGAGCCATTGTTCGACTCGATGAACAAATCAAAAAAATTAGAAACGTCTGCCATCTCATCGGCAATCTTGAACTCAAGAAAACATTCTGCGAAGTCTCCGAAGCCATACATAGAGACATCGTCTTCGCCAACTCACTCTATCTTCAATAACCGAATAATATATCCATAACTTCATGCTCAACTTCGGCATGAAGCTATGCTCAACTTCGGCCTCAGCTTCATATATTGCAATCACTAATTGTCATGGTCTGTATACATCACCGGTATGCACATCGCGTTGTCTGCAGTAACCAACGGTCTGTCTGCAGTAACCAACGGTCTGTAGTATAGTTAACTTTTTTGATGGAAATTATCGCTCAGTTAAAAGATGTAGAGACCCTGGCAGACCTGAGTAAGCGCCATGAAATAGGAATGAAGGAAATACACCGAGGAGTAAGCACCGACCAGTCTGAATAAGCTCAGTCTGAATAAGGTCTGGTGAATACTAAGATGGCTGATTGGTTTCATCATTATTTGTTTAGAGAGTACACTAGAGGAGTTGCGACGACTTGATGCTCTGGCGGCTGAGCTTCAATCACGGGAGGACAAACTGGAACGGGAACTAGAGGATGAATGCAGAAAGTATCACTCTCAATATTACGGCACTGAAGCGTTAAATGCGGCCTGTGAGGACATGCAGGAAGAGTTGATGACTTTCGCGACAGAAGCCTCAGCCAACTTACAAGATCTCGTGGCGAGGACCGGAGGATTGACCAAGGACATCATCGCTAGGCGGAAAGAGCAGCAAGAGCAAAACAAGATTAAGGTGCGGAAGGAGGCCATGATTGTTTTGAAAAGCTGTTCCGCCGATTTCCGAAAGAGCGCGATCGAATTAATTAATTGCACACGCGTGTGCTTGCAAACTCTTATGCCCAACATGGGCGATGACATGCTTCATACGGTTAGGTCAGAGCAAGCTATTAGTGAACTGGTGAATGCAAACGCGCTGCCAGGTTCTGTGAACCCGGTGTTGCCTCCTGCCATAACAGCATCTGCTTCTATGCCCGTCGTTGTGCCGCCTTTAGAAAAACGGACAACGGGGACTCACTACGATAGGTTGGTGGAGCTAAACATACACATTAGGAGTCTTATTACCCAAATAAAGATCGCCAAGGACATTATACGAGCAAAGGGCAACCTCTTCAATGATGATGGAAAGGCGAGGGCTGTTTGCGGCACTATAGAAGATGTAACAGATGAGTTGGACCAGCTCGATGTAGACCATGCAGACGTGGTAGTTGCCCAATCATTCAATCTTAGTCGAGTATTATTAGTCCATGTATTGAAGAAATCCATTGCACGACCGACGCCTAGTCGGATCCCTTCTGGATTGATCGAGCTCTTCTCTCGTAGCAAGAATGAGAATCGGTTAATTCAGGTTGTTTACCAGGAAATCGCAAATGCCAAGATCTCTCTGGCTGTCTTGATCAAAAAAGAAAACTACTACTTCGACCAAATAGCATCCGTTACCAACAGTCTTAAAATGTATATTGACCGCTACTATAACGTAAACCACCCACTATACCCGTCTCCACCACTATACCCGTCTCCACCACTATAACCGTCTCCACCACTATAACCGTCTCCACCACTATACCCGTCTCCACCACTATAACCGTCTCCACCACGTATAACCGTCTCCACCACTATAACCCGTCTCCACCACTTA